GGGTCCCCCAAGGCTGTGTGGTGCACCCTGACCCCATCCTATGCTCATCGAGGGACCGTGACATTCACAGGCAGATTTACTTTTCTTTCCTTCTGTGTGGAGAGGGGAGCCCAGGGCCTCTCACTGAGCTACAGCTTCCCGCTAGGTTCACCTGGAACTTGATCCCAGGCTGGGTTACATGGTGAGCTCAAGGCCAAGCTGAGCCACACAGCAAGAGCCTGTCTCACCCATCGTTCCACACGGCCTGCCCATCCCTTTGGTTTATGGGAAGGGCTGAGCTAACCCGGCATGGAACTGAGGCCTTCACTTCTGCCTTTGTCCCCACGAGTGTTTCTGTCCTTCCCCAGTATCCTTGCCGTATGGGCCCTCACAGCCATCCTTTCCCTATCCGAGGCCCTAATGTGAGGAATTCTGGGGCCTCAGCTGACACCTGCTGTTCTTTATACCTTACCTTTATTATTACAGAGAGACTATGGCTTGAATGCAGGTGTACCCACCTGCCATCCCAGGTGCTCAGGAGGCTGAGACAGGAAGATCAGAGGATCAGAAGTCTGAGGCCAGCACAGGCAACTTAGCAAGAGAGCTTGTTTCAAAATAAGATTAAAGGAGCCAGGGAGATAGCTCAGTAGAATAAGCACTTGCTTGGCAAGCGCAAGGGCCTGAGTTTAATTCCTGGTATAAAAAAAAAAGAAAAGAAAAAAAATAAGAGCACTTCCTTAACATGTCTGAGATCCTGGTTCTATCCATCTCCAGCACCATGACAAATAAATTACAGAGTAATTTTACTACAAGAGACAGATCTGGGAGCACTGCAGTCTGAGCACAATGCAGAGATGGAGTTAACCCAGGCAGGAAGTTCCTGATGGACCTCACCTCGAATTCTCACTAATGTCTCCCATCTTGCCTTGAGGACCTGTGTTAATTTTTCAGTTCTACAGGTCGTGGGCAGCTGGAAATCTGTTTATTTTAATCTCCAAGTTTTTATCTATTTCCCTTGGCTCTCAGCTTGTTTTTTCCCCTCCCACATAAAAAAAAGCAACTCCTTTTCCCTTTGGGGACATTCAAAAGCTGGAAGAATACGAGATATCATTGCTGCGAATAGTTTCCTCACAAACGCCTCTTCCCATGCAAACCTAACAAAAAGTCCATAGACAAAGAAGGGGGGGAGAAAAAGAGCCGGCTTATTAAATTTCCTTTAGCCTCGATGAGTGATTTATTTCATGAAGTTGGGGGGTTCTCCCTGTGAGACCTGGATTGCTGAGAGAAGACTGGGAGAAATGAGACAAGAGGTGCTTGTCCCTTGCATGGATTTTGGCTACAGTAGGCCTAAGAACGAAAGGGTGGAAGCTTCCAGAAACTGTGGTCACCTTGGATTAGGTAAAATAAAAACCTAAATGGAGAAGCAGACAGGATGAGTAAAGGCTGGAGGAAGAAGGACTGGAAACAAGGTTCAAGCTCAGAAGCGAAGCTGGGGCGAATGTTTGGGCTATTTACTTGTGGTGCTGGTGACTGAATCCAGGACCTTTGCATGGAGCTGTCTGAACACCCCTTTTTATTTTGAGCAGGGTCTTGTTAGGTCAGTAAATTGCTGCACTGCAACTTTAGCCTGGCTTCCACAGCTCTTTCTAAATTGTATTTCGAGAGCCAGGCATGGTGGCATGCGCCTGTCACCCCAGCACTCAGGAGGCTGAGGCAGGAGGATCGTTGTGAGTTTGAGACCAGCCTGGGTGACAAAGTGAGCTCAAGGCCAGCCTGAACTGCACAGTGAGATCCTGTCTCAAAAAGACAAAAAAAAATTTATTTTGAGACAAGGTTTCACTGAGTGACTCTCTCCTGCCTCAGCCCCTGAGTAGTCAGGATGACATCCTCACCCCTGAGGCCCCCTTCAGTTTGGTCTCCAGGCTGCTGTTGAGGCTCTGTGCTCCCAGCTTCCTCTGTCTTCTCTGAGAACCAACATTGGCAAGAATCGGGGTACCATTCAGGACATGTTGGCCTGAAACTGAAACTCCCTGGCATGGTTGCAGGCTGGACACAGGTGTCCTCCTGCCTCACCCACAGTTGGGGCTCTGGTCACAGACCCCTCCAGCTCCTGCTCCCTGGAGCCTCAGGATCACGCTCCGCCCCTTGTGACCCACAGGCAAGGAAGAGGTCAACCAGATGGCCCAGACTGTAGGTCAAAACTGAACCAGCTGTGGGTGACATGGGATGATCTATCACCCCAAAACTGCTCTCTGTCTCCTTCATGCTGCTGGCTGGGATGACAGACATTGGTCACTTGTCACTTTATCCTTTTTTTCTTTTGAGGCAGGGTCTCACTGTGTAGCACAGGCAGGCCTTGAATTCATGGCGATCCTCCTACCTAAACCTCCCAGCACTGGGATGACAGGTGTGTGCCAGTAGGCACCACGCCCAGCATGTCCTTTTCTCTTCCCTGTACTTCCGTGCATAGTTCAGCTCTTCTAGAACTTTCTAGGATTGTCCTTATAACACCTATAACACAGGACAACAAGGCTCTGTCCTCTCTCTCTCTCTCTCTCTCTCTCTCTCTCTCTCTCTCTCTCTCTCTCTATTTTAGTACAGGGTCTATAGGATCTCACTACATAGACCGGACACGCAGTGATCTGCCTGTGTTCAGCCTCCCAAGCACTGGAATTACAGGTGCGGGCCACTGCTGTCTCAGTGCGCTCTAGGGGTGGGGCCGGCATGGCACACCGGATATAGGGGTTTGAACCCCGGCCACTGCATCTGCCTAAGCAGGCCCTTTAATTCGCTGAGCTATTTGGCTGGCCCTTGCTCTCTTGTTTTTGAGCTGCACATTCACCCTTAGATCCATCTGAGGAGTCTCATGTGTCTCCCAAGTCAGGGGGGCTTTGTCCTCCCACGCGGCTGCAAAGAAGAGAAACCTTCCCTCCTCCTGGGGTCATTCACTGAGCTGGGGGTCACTCTGAGAACCAGAGATTGCCTCTGTCCTCTCTTACTCCTTTTAATCAGCAGTCTCCCCCAGGGCTGAGGCTCCTGCTTTCCTCCTCCCGCCCCCTGGCCGCATTGCAAAACAAGAATAAAACAAATCCTAGAAGTTATTTTGTAGTCAGAGATTATCAACTCCAGGGATCTTCTAGGACCTTCCCTGCCTCTGCCTCTCTCTGAAGTAAAACACCTGCTTCCTGGAGACAGGCTGTCTCCACCGGACCCAGGTGACGAGGGTGTGACCGCCTACACAGGCAGAGTTGTGTTTTGGTTTTCTCAGCGCTGAATCTTTTTTTTTTTT